TTCTAGGCGTTGGGGAGCCTGGACCCCTCAGGCCGCCTAGGACCCACCTAGCGCTTTTTGATACACTGGGGCGGAGAGATGTTGGGGCTGTGGTGGACTGCAAATGGAGGCAACCTAGATATGTTGGTTTCTACTATTACCTACAAAGCATATTTGAAGGGGAAGTGTAGCAGTGGAGCTCTTTTAAAGGAGGATTGTAAGGGAGGAACAACGGACAAAGGTGGTGGGTTAAATTGTGGAGAGTTGGGGGATTGGGGTAGAGGCGTGCATGAAAAAGGAACCAAAGTAGAGTTGCCTTGGTAAGGTATCAGTGCATTTTGATCTTGTTGTTCATTAGGGATGTAAGGAGAGTGGTTTGGGGCTGGATAAGCGATAGGAGTTGAGAGCGGAAGGGGAGGGAGAAGAAGGTGATTTGGACACGTTGCAGTGGGTATGTTGGGATGAGTGGAGGAGCTGTCCAGATTTTCTGGGGATGGGGGGGGACTAGTGGGGAGATTGGGGGGGATTAGTAGGGAGAGACGTTTGGGGGTAGTTTGAAGGAATGTGATACGGGTGGGGAGGTAAGAGATGAGGCAGTGGGGAAGACACTTGGGGATTATTGGGAATTGGGGTTGGCAAAAGCAGTGGATAGAGAGGGGTGATGATAATGATAGAGGGGGGAGAACAAGGGTCATTAATGAGTGGAGGATGGGAGGCAATCGAGGAAGCAATCTTCGAGGGAGCCTTAAAAGGGTGAGTGACACTAAGCATAGTGGCAAGGCAAGCAAGGCAAAAGGTACAAAGGTACAATGAGTAGAGCCACAGTATCTTGGGTATTTAATGTCGAGGGCGGCGGGGGGTAATAGATGTCAAAGTATTCATGGGGATACTTTTGACGAGGTGGTTGACGAGAGGAAGATGACAGGACGTCAGAGATCTGATAGACTTGGGAATGATCAATGAGAAGTTCCTTTCCTCGGTCAGATTGAGGGCAGGAATCTCGCGGCAAGGGGTCGGTGGAACTAACTCGTTGCATAAACGGTGATTATGGTCCAAGGTGTGAGCAGTTTTGGTAGGCCTAGATCCCGGAGTTTTGTTTCGGTGCAAATTGCTATTGTAGTCCCTAGTGGGCTTGGGAGCAGCAAATGGGGGCCCCGGAGCACGGGAGGCTCCACTAAATTTTCATTGGACCATAGTCGAAGCTTTGTGGTCTGGCTGGGGACGAGTTGGCAATCCAAGCCCTGGACTGATACTGAAATTTTGTAAGAGAGGCCATTAAAGTGCAAGGACAGAGAACTGGGGATTTGGTCTACTGATTCAATAGATATTAAGATGACAATTTGTCCCAAAGGAAGAAATCCCATGGACTTCCAATGGACAGATAGGAATTGCCCACAGCTATTTCCTAGGATTTGAACGACCTTGTTAGACCAAAGATGGAAGGGAATTCGTTCTAATGTAATCCAAAATTTACTAATTTGTTGGGCTCCCATTGAAGGATTCCATTTTAGTAGGGATAGAATCCCACCTTTAAAGCTTAAGGTGGGATTGGGAGGAATAACCGGTTTAAATTTGTTTGTAAAGGAGATGAGATACTTACCATTTGAGAGAAGCCTGCAAACGACATGAGGGTCATTAAAGACAAGCTGTAACCACAAATTAATCCCTTTGATGTCACTGTGATGAGGCAGGAAAGTGCCTATAGGGGAATTTTCTAGACGAGAGTCGCTCAGCACTCTCATAGTTAGAGAAGAGCCAAATGTGGGATTCGAGGTTATGGACCGAGATATGATAATCGGTGGAGTGCTTTGCACTATTTCGTGATTGTCAAGGTTGCTGCAATGTGTTTTCCGGTGTGGAAGCTACTGCCTGGGCAAACATATTAGGATATACAGTAGAAGGGTGCTCATTACCAAGAAGAGGTGCGGTTGGGTATTGAGTAGGGTGAGTTGGTAATATTGAGGGGGAGGCATTAGGGGGGTGGCGTTAGATGATTCAGGATATGGGGGTTGTCCCTCATAAACTTATGCGAGAATGGGGGGATTGGGCTTAAGGTAAGGGGGTGGGAGAGGAGGTGGTCTAACTTGATGAGCAGAGAGGTATTCGGGATGAAAGGTCTACTTGAGGGTAACGTTGGTGCCTATTGGAAGATGGATGTTGTAGATGGTGATGGTGACTTTTGTTGGGGTTTTGAGGATGGTTGTGGTTCATAAATTCTCTGTAGTGGTAGTTAAAGGTAGGATTCTATTCGCGCAGCACATTGAAGGTCTGGCAGATGGGCTTTGAATATCTGGTGTCTCTTGGATAACTAGAGGAGTAAACGCTATAGTCTCGCTGGTGAATACGACGTTTGTGTAGAGAGGGGTTGTGTCTTGAACGAAGGTTCCTGCGAGGGCTGTAACCCCTTCAAGAAACTTCCTACGAGGACTGTATCCTCGTTGAGGAAGAGGAGATCTATAACTACGATGTGGAGGATTGTTTCCTCCCCTCAAGTGTCTTCTCAGTTGGATCATTAAAAAAAAAAAAAAAAGCACCACGAGGAATGGTGGGAAAGCCTCTAAAAGATTTGAATTTGGTAAGTTGGAGGTCAAGCTTCTCTCAACTTAGGGAGAATGATGCAAATAAAAAATTAGGAAAATAATTTTATTGTTATTTTTGTCTTATCTTAGGAATAGGAAGTGCACTAGGATAACTTAAGCAGGAGGAGGGAGGATTTGGGTGTGTTAATTGTTAAGTGGGAGGAGGGAGGATTTTAGTGGATAAGTTCTTAAGTGGGAGGATTTAGTGTGTGAGTTATTTTGATAATAGAGTAGCAATTGGATTGGTTAGTTTTAAAAAGAAAAATCTGGTATGAGTTGTTTTTTTAGGAGGCTTTTGTGGAATAGATTAAGAACTAATCTTTTAAGAACGATTTAAAAAGGATAGAGATTCATGTGAGAGAAAATAAGGAGATAAGGAAGAGATATGGAGGCTTCAGGTGAGAGAAAATAAGGAAGTAGGGATGTGAGTTTTAGAGAGAGAGAGAGCTTATTTTTTTGGATTTTTTTATTTATTTATTTTTTCTTTCAAGTGTATTTAAAGGCAAGAAGCCCCTTCATTGTAAAGGGCAGAGAATTGGTGATTAAGTAAAAAGTTGATCTTGTGAAAAGATCTTTTGGGGTGGATTCCCTTCAAACCCAGAGAGAAGATATATTCTCTCAACCTTTATTATTATTTTTATTTTAATTATTTCTTCCGGCATCAGATATTCATAACCATCCAATCAACAATTGTTAACTTGGATAGCAATGACTATCATGAGCATCTGGAGAGTACAGTTATGATCCACATGACGCTACTAAAATATGTCAACAAAACCTACCTTGTAAGCATCCAAACCATTAATTGGACAGTAAATGACCGCACTTATTTGATGCAGTTCAAGGTCAGAAGACATTTGATAACCACAATTGCTATATCAGGAAAATAAGGTTTTAACGAAATCATGGAAAAGATGGGGTAAAAACACATGAAAATGGGGAAAGTACTGGAAATGTTGGAGATTACAAAGATGGTCAAAAATATTATTTCACAAAAATACGATTCCACTATTTCTGATATTCAAAAAATAAATTTGATTTCAAAGTGAAACTTGTCCCCCATTCTGCATGTCTAACCTACCAAATCATTCAATAGAATCACAAGATAAGATTTCTAATCTTCTAGAGTCTTGGATCTTTTGTTGACGTGTTCAATGATCACATAGACAGTAACAAGGTACTGAGGAAAATACTCCTTTTTTCTTCAAATAAACAATGGAAATTAAAGCAATTTCCCTAAAACCATTTATAATTACCTTAGTTAAAGAAGCTTTGGTTACTACAACCTAATTAGTTTCACAACACCACCCACAAATAGAAGTTTTGTAGAGAATATGGCCTTGGAAAAAATCCAAGAAAAAGGAAAGTACATAATAGAAACATAGTGTTATGATTATGTGATATATGAATCAAAGTAAATAAAAAAGTGAATTACAGTAAACAGCATTAACGTAAGTTACGAATATAAATTACAGAAAATAACAAAAAGATGAATGACTTCAAAATTTAAAAATAAAAATAACAATGAATGACTTCAAAATTTAAAAATAAAAAGAAAAATAAAAATAAAATAAAATGTGAAACCAAGAGCATTCTTCAAAAATTAGAAATGGAAAACAAAAAATAAATAGATAATAAACAAAATATACCTCCATTTTGAATTTCTTTATGAAGAGGCGCTTTCACATTGAGAGAATGAATTTCCATCTTAAGGTCGAAAAAAAGTGTAAATCAAAACTAGTAAAACAAAAATCACTACCTAAATCGCTTCCTTAATTCAGTTACACAGTAAACCCTAAAGTAAAACCCTATCTAGATCAATTTACATAGTAATTAAATAAAAAACCTGTGAAATTGAAAACAGTAAAATTCAAAACCCACCTACTTCCATTTTCAGAGAAAATCTGCAAAAGGACTTTAATACAGTATTCATAAGATTTCCAGATAAATAAAATAAAAAACATTAAAACCATTAAATCAAAATCCTACCTAAATCTATTTAAATCTGTGGCTTCGAATATGCGGGAAAAGCAAAAACCAGTGCACATCTATTTACCATTATTCACCTCTTAACCATTAAAAAAAAAAGTAAGGAATAAACTAGTATGCATCTCTTTACTAAGCTGCAGCCTCCACATAACAAAAATCAGCACAATATCACCAAAATTGACTGCAGCCAGTCACTAGAAAACAGTTGCATATGGAAAGTCCCTGAGATAGAAATCAGTTTCATATAACCAAAAGCAAGTTACTAATCAGCACAATATCAGCAAAAATGTCACCTAAAATCCTACAATATCACTGAAAATACCAATTAAACTACAACAATAAGTACAACATCACCGAAAAGTTGCAGCCAGCACAATATCACCAAAAAAACAACAAAAATCAGTACAATATCCCTTCAAATCTCACCACAAAGTATAAAAATCAAAAGTGCACCTGATGCTTGACAATTCGGCGTGATCAAGTACTCTCCGGTTTGATCAAATTGAAATATCTTGAACCTTGTACTATCTGCAAGCTTGGAGATTAAGGCAGACAATGTTTCCTTGAGGGACTATGGTCTAGGGCTTTTGTTTTGATAGATCTGAGTTTTGAGGGTTTCAGGAGAGGAGGTTAGGGCTTTTGAGCCTTTAACGTGACAGACAGATGGAGAGAGAGAGAGACCGCGGGGGTTACAAGAAAAAAGAAGGCTTGTAGAGAAGGGGATATATATAGCCAGTCATGAATCCTTTTGACGGTATAAGTACTTAGGTCGAGCCAACCCCCGGAGCTTTCGGAGAACCACTCATTTCACATGTACTATGGCCGTTAAATTTGGATTAAGTGAGCCATTGACCGTCTGATCAATCTGTTATAGTATTTTATTTTTAATTTGTTTTATAAATTATATACGGGCCCAATGACGTGTACCTAAACAAAATATTAACAATAAATTTTTAATAAAATATAATAACTAAATTACTTTTTAAAATTTTTAGAGGTATTTGAGTCATTTTATTTTATTAATAATATTTATTTATTTATTTTTACTTGTGCAACTTTAATAGAAAAATAGATGCCTAAAATTTGGTGTAAAAACAATTTGTAAAATTAAAAATAAAAATAAAATAGTATAGCGACGTGGTATTGTTATTGGGGGCATCTCAGCGATCAATTCATAATAGATGATGGGATAAGAGGAAGTATATAGCATAAAAAGTTTGTTACTATTTGAACAAAGGCAAGCTTTCTATGATTTCCCTACTCTATAAAATTTACCCCTCTTAAAGTTGTACTGGCAAAAAATATAAAAAATATATTTGCAATAAAACTAAATAACTAAAATACCCTTGAAAAAAATAACCCTCAAAGTTTTAAGAGGTATTTTGGTTATTATGTTTTATCAATAATTTGTTTTTAATATTATTTTTTTTTAGATGCACCCCGTTAGGAAGATGGTACGTACCAAATTTTATGTTCATATAATTTGTAGAAAAAACTAAAAATAAAATACTATGAGGAATCAAATCTAGATCAAATAATCAGTGACTCACTCTCTCTCTCCAACAAACGATCTATATCATCATCTTAAATTTCTCTTTTCTCTCTCTATAAGGTGAATTTATAAAATTGGAACAGATATCTCCGACAAACTCTCTTTATCATCCTCTTTAATTTCCCTCTTCTCTCTCTTTATACAACGAGTTATTAACTTTGGTTTTTTTTTTAATGTCAGTTATAGTATTGATATTTCGTGCATATGACAATGACAATATATTATCTAGATTGTAGTTTCTAAGTTAGAGGTACTGATACATGTATTGATATCTTGAACTGTTTTTGTAGATTGGTTTCATCTACTTGCATTACGCTACAGATTCAAATAACTTATGAGGTTGGTACCCATACAATTGATATTATTAATATGCTTTTTTCAATTCAGTATGTATGAGGTGTGGATCAATTATCTATTATTTCTTATATGTCTTTTATTTGACTTTCATGTTTCCTATTGTCTTTGTTCTGAATTGGTTTTTTGTTAGCTACGTCTTTATTTTTTAAAAGCCTTCAAGAGGAACAAGTAAGTACCTGCATTTCTTGCCTTCTGTGCTGAATATTTTTGTGGGTCAGACACATGATATTTATGATCCATTAATGTACAAGTTAAGGTTTTGATCATGGAAGAATATTTTTCTTCCGTTTTTTTTTTAAGTTTAGATCACATATACATATAGACATTATGAAATTTGAAAAGCGATAAACTATTAATGGGAGTTTTTGGAGAGTAAGCATGTAGGTACTTAAGGGGAAGAATAATATTCACAATGCCATATGTTGTCATACAAAGTATGATTTATGTTATTGCTTAAGAAATTAGAGTTTTGTTGTCTGGTTCGATTCTTTTATATTAATTTTAATAATTTTTATAAATTATTTTAATAGGGATTTTTGAACATCTGATCTAGGAGATTTACTTTGATGTATTATATTGTTGGGCTTGAATAATTTGTAACATTAATATTTTATTTGGAAAAAAAGGGCTCACTATTTTTTTTTCTTTTTTTTTTTGGATGGCATTTGGGTAAATGTGGCAAATAATGGACATAGAAGTCAATGTTTATTTTTTGCATGTAGATTTTTTAGCAATTTTAGATCCCTATATATTAGGGTATTAGTTTAGAATAAATATTTCAGGATTTTCTTTGAATTATTATAGTGAAATAAAGGGTTTTGGTTTGATTTGTTATGATATTTTAATTATTTGCTAATGTGATTTGCAGGGGAAACATCAAGTAATAATTACATAGTATTATCAATTACTAATCAGTATTTCAACTAAATATTACTTATTCTATTTTGATTGCATAGTGATAAATGTATAAATTTAGTGAGAAACAATGAAACTTTTATATTTTATATCAATTAATAGTATTTGTCAAAAAATAGTTAACATAAACATAATTAGTCATTCTTATTTAATTGAAAACAACTTAATAATCAAATGATGCCTTCTTGAAAATGTTATTTTAAATTGAAAATTTATTCAATTATAACTAAATCATATCACGTATAATACACGTGCATAACACTAGTTATACATTAAACAAGAGGGATACCCTCTGTATTTTTATGCCACGTGTCTTATTTTTCCACTTACTTAATAAATCTCTCCCTTTACCTACATGAATTTCTCTTCTCTCTCTTCATCCCCTTTACTTTTGCGTCACATGTCTCATTTTTCTTCTTTCATAATAAATCTCACCCCTCATCCAAATGATTTTCTCTCTTCTCTTTCTCCCTCTTACACCTTTTCCTGATTTTGTGACATGTGTCTCATCTTTCTTCCTTCTTAATAAATTATCTACCCCCCATTTTTTCTTTAGTAATAAATCCCCCACACCAACACTATTTTCTCTCTCACTCACTCTCTTTCCCTCTTATACATTTCCTTAAATATGTTACATGTTTTTTAAATTCTTTCTTATTTTCTCTTATTTATATCATTTATGGTTTCCCTTTGTACCGTTTCTATCTTTGCCTCTCTCTTTTCTAAAATATCTCCCATTTATTTTCTTAAAATATCTCATCTCTCCCTTATTTATATCATTTACAGTTTCCTCTCAACAATTTCTATTTCTCTCTCTCTCCTCCATAAAATCTCTCTCCCATTTATTTTCTTAGAACATCTCCCTCTCAAAGGTCTCTCTCTCAATTGTTTTTTTTCTTTCTCTTTCCCCAAACTGTTTATCTCTCTATTTATTTTATCTATCTTATAGTAACTCCAAAAAGCATATAATAAAGAAACCTACTATTTCTCTCTCCCTACCATGTTATCACCTTTTTTTATATATGCTACTCCTTTTTATTTTTTCTAACTTGCACTATTTGTGATTAATGTCTCTATGTGATAACTCATGTCTTAAATTTCTCCTATAATATTTTCTCTATTTCACTCATTGCTTTCTCCATTAATCTCTCTCTCAATCTTACCCTCCCAAAATTTCTTTTTAAAGAAAACCTCTTCCATCATCTCTTACCATAAACCCTCGCGCCCAGCCCAAAAACCTATCACACCCCACCTTATCCTATGAGAAAATAATGTATTTATATATTTATCTTAAGTCCATTTCTTTACTAATCTGTCATAAGGATTTTTTAGCAAGAAAATTTCTTTCTAAGAGAAAAGTAAATGGTACGATGTATGTCTCTTTATAGTATATATGATTTTTTCATATAGAAAATAAGTGGTTTGATCTCTCTCTCACACGGCGTGAAACTTAATTAGAATGAAAAAACTACGAATTAGATTCTTGAATAGTTCTAATTTTTTTTATTATAAACTTGAACATAGTAACAAAATAGTAGTATATTTTTCAAATTGTAATATGATATTTTTACATATAGAAAATAAATGATTTGATCTCTTTTCTAACAGGTCATGAAACTCAGATTGAAAAACCTAAGGATTTAGATTCTTGAATAGCTCTAATTTTTTATTATAAACTTGAAAATAGTAATAAAATGGTAGTATATTTTTCAAATTTGTAATATGATTTTTTTACGTGTAGAAAATAAGTAGCTTGATATCTCTCTCATAGTTCGTGAAATTCAATTAGATTGAAAAAACTAAGGAATTAGATTCTTAGATAGTTCTATCTATCTAACTATACTACATTATTAAACAAATTTAATTCTACATTTTAAGGTTGCAATATATAAACTTTTTCTTTTTTTTTATCCAACACTTTCCTAAATTTTATGCGTGAAGACTAGAGAGAAGAGGATCTCCACCCTTTCCTACTATTTTATGCGTGAAGAGTATATATTTTAGGAAAAGAGAGAAAAAGTAGAGATTTTAAGAACAATGTCTATCTCTCAAAGCTTATGAAATTCAATTAGATTAAAAAAAAACTAAAGATTTAGATTCTTGAATAGTTTTATCTATTTATACTACACTATTAAGCAAGAGTTAAGCGGGGAACAAATATCGCGAAAATAAGAAAGGACCATAATGTTATAGATGTTGTAGGACATATTCTTCATGTTTGAGGGAAGAGAAAGACTAAAATTTTGTGCTTGTAGAGTAGAGAAGAGAGAGAGAAAATAGAGATTTTAAGAAGAGAGAGATATTGTTTCCATAACTTATTGAGAAATAAGAGAATTTTTTTAGGGTGTAGTTTCTATAAGGTTGTAACCTTAAACAATCCAATTAAGGCGCACCTCCAAATTTTATCATAACGTATAATTTTGGTGTAAACAATTCTTAAGATTATCTAAAAATCTATTTTCATGTCTAATTATGAAAGTTTAAACTCTCAAAATGGTTAAAATCAAGTAGATTTATAAACATATAAAATTCTTGAAAATGCACGGTCTACATAATTTGTTGCAAGCTGCACTATTTCTGGGACTCATAAATTTATTTATTTTTCATATTAATACATATCAATGTTGAGATGATCAATCAGAGGGTTTTTCGACATTAAAACAACCATTTTTGATGTGCATCTTTAATTCTACATTTTAAGGTTGCAACTTTATATAAACTTTTCCTTTTTTTAATCCAATCATTTCCTAAAATCTGTGCGTAAATAGTAGAGAAAAGAGGAGAATAGTAGAGAAAAGAGGATCTCCATTATTTCCTAATATTATATATATGAACAACCCGCCCCGATCTCCTCACCCGCTTTGGGTCTCTTGAGACCCGGACTCACTACAGG